TGTCTGCGAATTGTGTGCCAGGCGAGACGAAGAGCTAAAATGCTCTTAACACTTTCATCTTTTTTTCCCAGCAATTTTTCCTTTTTTGGCCTTTATGCGTTGGCTACCAGAGCTTGTGGAGTTAACCACCTGGAACCCCATTGGGAACAAAATATTGCAGAGAAACAAAAGCCTAATAGAGGAATAAAAAATTGTTTTATTTAAAAAAATATATAGTTTTTTAACATTACAAACGGCTTTAGTACTAAATCCACCTTTAAGATATTTCCATTAAATACTAATACTTATTTTTTGTATATCCTCTAGCTCCAATTTTATTTTGACGCTTTTGTCGCCAGTTGCATAGCCTCCAGGTGCAGCTGAGCGATTTTGTTCGAGTGTGTGTGTGCGTGCGTTAAAATTTAGCACAACATTCTTCCAGATGCACCTGCTTTGGTTTCAGCCAAACTCAACACACTTAACTCCGGACCAGGCCCCCTCATATCCTCGCCAGGCATTAAGGCTCTTTCGCGATGGCGCAAAATGCAATTTATACATTTCCGTTAAGCAAGCGAAATTCAAACTATATTTTTTCGCTTCTTCTCGGCGCAGACGAGACATGTTTTTGCTTTTAGCGGAGCGCTACGCGGAAGCAAAAACAATGTGGTGAATGCCACACATCCTACCCAACTACCTGGCTCCTCATCCGTCTCACTACGGCAGTTTGTCGGAAATTTTAACTAATTAAAATGCTTTCTAAGGGCATCCGGAGTGGAAATTTCATAAAGAAAACAACAAAGTGCTAAAGCACATCGGATTGCGTTATTTATGGCAAGGCGGCGCGCGACTTTCCTCCTTTGCATTCGTTTTCCTGGGAAATCAAGGAAAATATTTAATTTTCCAAATCAATAAGCACGCTGATTGCATTGCCTGACAATTGGCATCAGCGTGAAGCGAGGCCAATAAATCTGGCTATGTGTAAGAGATGCTTTGGTATTTGGTCGTGGACGCAGGGATGGGCCATTGCCCCGGTTATTGGTGGTCAAAGAGACGCTGAACAACAAGACAAACTGTCAACTTGCATGGAAGGGAACCGGGACAGGGCCACGCCCTCGGGTGGCGCCAAAAATAATTGAATTCCCCAAATGCCAAAGTGGAATTTTAATTTGCACTCGACACTTCCTAGTTGGCCCCAAGACTGTGAAGTTCAGAGAGAATTGTTGCCACTGATTGCTGATCAGTATGCAAAATGTGTGCGTTCCGAAATCAGTGCAAAAAACGCTGTTTTTTTGGGGGGGAGTCTAGGGGCGACATTGTCACACGTACTTCCATTGCTCTCCCCCACCCCAAATTGATGTCTTAGAAAATTAGCAAACGCCTTCATGCCAGGAAAAGTTCTTGGCCTCGTGACTCGGCGTTCTCTACACCTTTTTTTTAATGGCTTTCCATCACTCTCTTGGAGTTTCTTTACTTCCACAGTTGGGGCTATTGTGGAGGCAACGAATGGGTTACTATTAATTTAATCCTTTCATTCCAATGTGTATTATAGTCCCCAAAGTTACACTATTGATTTGTAATATTTTGGGTTGCATAAAATAAACATTTATACCCAGCTAGAAGGTATTTTTCGTTTTTTAATCGCACACTATATCATGGTTTAATAACACTCCCCTGCTCGCTTCCACCATAGCTCTTTCTTTGTCTGTCGCCGTATCCTGGCATTTATAAACGCATACATATGCATGAGATCATAAAGATGGCGAATGTGTCAGCGTGTGTGAGGGGCTAGTGAGTGCAATGCATTTGTCATAAATGTAAAAAAATGTGAAGAAACTCCATAAAGGAGTGTGCGTACGAGCTTTCACTATCGCAGTCCTCCTCTGTCATGCTCGTCCCGCTCACTCTTTATGAGTCTCGTCAGCGGCATAATGAATGCATCCGGCATGCATTGAAAACTTGGCTCATATTTCATAACCGAAAAAAAAAATGAAAAAAATAGAATAATAAAAATTGTACGGGTACATTGACCATCTTGTTGGTGCTTCGTGTTATTGTTGGTGTCTGGCTGGTTTTTGCCGACAATCGGTTATGTTTGTATATGTACGTGTGTATCTGTGTGTATTTGTTGCTAAAGGATCCCAGTTCATACACAATTTTAAGCCGGTTTTCCACGTCCTTTTGATCATATTTTCTTTCCCCACAACTACTATGTATGTGGGAAATTTTATTTCAGGTAGTTTTTGCACTCGTATTGTGCAAATTAAATGCAAATTTTTAAATAAAATGCTTTTAAGCAGAGCTCAGCTTGCTATGACGTTCGTAGGCCACTTAGTAGTTGATATATTCGTACATTATGGGATTACACAACGAGAGCTGGCATATTAATTTTCAATTGCATTCGAGAGATATTCATAAATGGTCATTGGAGTGGATTAAACTTTGATGCGTGAGCTGCTTTAATTTTGATAAATGTAAAGGGAAAACAAAAAAATAGTTTAAATCCGTTGTAAAATTATGTAAGATTTTGCAGGGAAAGGTGGATAATTATGTTTTTTTTATCAGCTATATTGGGTTTTCTACAATGAACTCGACAAGAAGCTTAACATATTTAGCCCACATTAACCACCAGATTTAAAAGGATATGACCTCCTGCTCCCCAACGAGCTGACAAACTGGCTGACATCAACCGCACCCTTCACACAATAGTTAGATGCTGACAAAAGGCATGTCAGTCGCCTGCCTGCATTGCAGCCAAGTTGGAATGTCAGAACAGTAAACGGTGAATGTCTGCCAGACAAAGACGACTCAGCACCCAGGTCACCCCGACAGCCCCGTCGCCACCAAAGCGCCCAGCTCCATTTCCCTAATTCCAGCATCCACCTGTCTTACCGAAAACGCAGAAACAAAAAATGCAAAGTGCAAGTTCATGTGATATGCAAAGTGGAGTGTGAGAGAGACTTTCTAAGAGGGCTTTTATACACACTGGGTATGTGGGCGAGATCCTGGGATGGAAACTATCAGATAGGTACACACTCAGGTACTTGTTAGTAGTACCATCTTTTTGGGGAACTTTTTTCTGACAAAAAAAGAAATGTCCTACATATTCCCTTTAAAATTAAAATTTAAAAACTTATTTATCATCTAATTATGAATTAAAACATGAAGTTAAAAAACATAGCATACTTTTAAGGGTCAAAATTGTATTTTCTTGATTTTCAACCAAATTAGTCAAATTAGTACAACTCTACCAGAGCACCATCAATATCTTCCACATTCCAGTACTTTCTGTTCGATGAAGATAATGACCATACGGTTAAAGAATGTCAAGTGACTTTTATGCAATCTGGACAAATTGAAAACTCATCTCCACCCCATGTATTGCTTCCTCTTTTATGCCATTGTTTCGTCCTTAGTGATTGAAACAGCCCACAGAATGCAAACTTTTTCCGGCGGCCCTGTATTGAGGGATATGGCCAATTTTGGAAATTTTTCTGGAGGAGAAAAAGGGGCCGGGGCATTGGCCACCCGACATGTTGGATAGATTTTCGGATGCGTTAGGCCGAAGACCAATGGAAAAGTTTTCTCTTTTTTCAAGGGACTTTCTGCTTAGCCCCCCACATACCATGCAGTGCATTGTTTATTGTTTGGCCCTCAATACGATGCTACATACGTCCAGGAAGAGCACTTTCCCTTCGCAAGCTCCTTTGTGTGCATTTAGCATAAATTAGAAAGTATCGATCGATCTGCGGTGAAATTGAAAAGGCAACTTTGCCGCAACCCGAAAAGTTTCAAATCAATAACAGCCAGGGAATGTTTTTCGACTAAGCTGCTGCTAACCAACTGAAATTGTAATTTCGATGAGTATATGTAGTACTGGAGGGGATTGCAGAACCAAATTATATTGAGCAAGAAAGAGGAGAGCAAAATAAATAAAAGTTGTGCCCTGCCACGCATTGGGTAATTGCAAGAAAATCTCATTTAATCCCAACAAATGCGACTTCATCACGCAAAAAATTATGAAATATTCTTCGTCTCTAGGCAGCAATTGCTTTCGTATATATATATATAGTATATATATCTCCCTCCCTTGCCGTTCAAGTTAAGTTGCCTTTTTGTTTTGCTTGTTTACACATTGTCCCGCTCGCGCCTTTTGGCTAAAAACAAAAAAAATGAGGAAAAAGCCAAATATAGCAAGCAAAGATGGCAGTCAGAAGCATTGGATGGATATTTAGTATCGTAGTTTCTTTTGCAACATCATCATTTTGGTTTTGGGTTGCGGAGGGTCTGGTGGGAAGTCGCAATGAGCTGAATCCGTTGAGTATTCAAACTAGGGTGGTTTGTGGAATTCGATTATTGTTCACAACTCATAAGGCAAATCAGACTGAATAAGTTGATGGGCATTTTGAAGGACTAATGTACAACACATAATTGTAATTATTTTAAACATTATTTTATATATTTTATAGCAAGGATTCAAACTCATCAAGCTCCCCTCGACTTGTTTAACTGCTTCCTTGGCTGGAAGCTCCCTTGAGCCCCTTGGTCATCGTTTCATGCAGATGAATGCGCGCATTTATGAAAAATGTTGTTGTCATTGCTGCTATGTTGTTATTATTGCCGCTTCTGGCTCTGCTACATCTGATGAGAAATAATGTTTGCGGAAAAATAAGATTTGTTTATTTTACGAACGATTGATTTCGTCCTTCCTCGTCCTCTCTGCTCTGTTTATCCTGCCATCCCGCCACCACCACCTTCCACCCAAAAGGACACTTCGCCCACCCATTTGCAGCACTTGTCCGTGCTTCATTTCGCGCGGCTTAAAAATTAATTATCGCCGAAGTCGGGGATCCGGCAAGGACTCTAGCCTGTCACTCGTAAAGCCATCAGTGTCATTTATTATTTGGCGGTCTTGTTGATCTTTTTTGAAATCTTTCGTCAAACTTTTGGCCGTCCTTCGTATTAGCTGTGATTTGAATCTGGTAGACTATTCTCGGGCCCCGTTTAAAATACAATTCACTTACCAGGCACCAGCATGAGGAGCAGAATCATGGCCAGCCAGCAGAAACGGCCACGCCCATTTTGTGGTCCAAGCGATGGCACTGAGGCCACTTCCTTGCCCCCTCCCCTCCGCCTCATGCACTTGTTGGCCATTTGCATGTTGCGGATGGGCGACTCTTGTTTAGTGGTATTCGCCATTGGAAAATATGTTTATACTGTTGTCTCTGTGTATTGTGTATTTGTGTCCTCCCCTTTTGGATTTTTTTTTATCTCGAATCTCCTTTGCTTCGATTTTGGCCCTATAAATATATATTGGCCAATAAATGTCAATTGAATTCGGGCTTCTTCTGGGCTCTGTAGTTGGGATTACTCGGAAGCTTTAATCCAGCTGTAATTGAATAAAAAATTAAGAAAAAGATTAAAATCAACTATTAAAGGGAATTTTACTGAAGCATAAAGTTATATTTTAGACATATATATTTATTTTTTAATTTAAAGCTAGTTTTGAAATATAAAATTCATAAATATTCAGTTGGTAATTACTTATCATTTTATTCAATATATGCTGGGATTTCATTGACAACTACCAGCCATTATCATTGCACTTTCAATTTAAATAACCACGATTTGAATTTGAAACAAAAACACCCGTAATGTCATTGGTTTTTGATTGCCATATAAATAATTCAACAAAATTAATTTAAATAATAGATTATTTGTTGCCCTAACTCCCTTTTATTTACGTTCTATTCAGCTTCCTCTACATTGTGGTTTCGACTCTGCACTATATTGCAAAACAGTGATTAATACAATTAACTGAAGCACTTTAATTAAAAAAGCTTTAAACGGAGAGACAGAGTAGATACACATTGGATAAAGATCCGTTTTTCGCAACTCTAATTCTCGGGTATGTTTCACAAAGTAATGAAAAAATAGCAACATTAAAAGCACCAGCAAAAACTTAATCCATAGAAAAAATATAAGGAAATGAAAGAAACGGAATACCTACAGCATTTTATTTTTATATTTAAAAAAAATAGCGTATATTCCCCAGAGCGCAGTGCTTTTTACGTCCAATTTCACATTTTATTTCGTTTTTTTTATAATTTCCTGTATTGCTTAACGACCAATTCCTAATTGTCTTTGGGTTAAAAAGAGAAAAAGGATCTTAAATCTTTGGTTTAATTATTTTTCATTTAAATAAAACTCCCACACATGCAAAAAACTGGCATTAAGGACTCCACATGTGTAGGTCCTCTTTACGGTTTGTTTTCCTCGTAAAAACTTCTTTTCTCTTTCGGGTTTTCCAGAGCGGCGTTGCTTTTGGCAATTTTCTTCTCGCCTTTGGATCGCATTTCGCTTTTCCTACTTTTCCACTTATTTGAAACAAAAGTGTCAGAAGCACCCCACCCACACATGTATTTAACAAAATCCTTCCTTTAGTCTTATTTAACGTTTTTTTTTTAACATTTAAATGCGGACATGGTTACTCTTAATACTCGTTTATCCTTTATCATGGCCATGTTGTGTCTTTAAGGATTAAATTAAAAAAAAAAGGTTTAAATTAAGTCAGTCTTGAATGGAGGATAAGTGATTACCCAGTTTTTGACGAAAAATAATTTTAATTTTATTTAGGATATAAAAAAAACTATGGTTTTTAAAGGATAACTTTACCAAAATGCATCAAAGACAACGATAGCCTTGTGGATTTTTTTAGTGAAGCTCTGCACTAAAAAATTTTGAATAAAAGTGGCAAGAAATTCTTTTCCTCAGGCTGCGTTTAGGGTAATGAGCACATACAAAACACAATTAAAAGCTGATTGCTAAAAATGCAATTACACGTATCTTTTTCTCTGCTGCCGTGCACCCGTGAGAACATACGTTCATAATTGTACACCAGGACCTTTTAAGCTTAGAGTTTGCAGTTTGGGCACAGCATGCAAAGCATTAATGCATTTAATGGCCCAAAGCCGAAAGAGGTAAAATATTTAAATATTAAACAAAAAGTGCTAGAAGATAAAATTAAATTTCAGAAGATTCTCCCCACATGAATAGATTTTAAAGCCCGAAAGTATTTTTTAAAGCCTTAAACATATTTGAATTTCTTTCTGGTCTTTGGGTAACGTATTGTTTCCTAATATCATTATAATTTTCATTTCCTCTGGAAAGTATCTTTGATTTTGCATTTCATACAGTTCATTGGCCTTGTTTATTCCGATTCTCAATCGATTTGGCTTTATTTTTCCCCTATTTACTCTCCTGTCTTGATTACGGCTCACTTGCTTCATTCCGCATTGTGGTATTTGGATTGTTTTCACATTTTGATTCCATAGTACACTCCGGCTTGAGTTCAGAGGTGAAATTGTAAGCAGGACGAGTATGACATGCATTTTTGTACCGATTTGCTTGCCCGGTTTTGTGTGTCAAGTGGTGAGACTTGCTGGGGATACATGCAAATATTTACATCCATATGCAAATGCTCAGGTATGTATGTATGTGTATCTCAGTGAAAGTAACCACAAACTGCAATTACAGAGCCTGTGAAGTTTTTCCATCAGATTACCGTCAAAGTGATAGCCATAAACCGAAAACTCTTGAACTTAGATCAACAATTTTGGTTTCTTTGATCTCAAAACATAGCTTAAATATATTTATAAAAATATTGAATGCTTAAAATAAATGTAGAGCTATTTTTGAATAATAGTTTTGGTTTTATTCTTTATCCTTTAACTCTAGTATTTCTGTAGATGCTTTCTAGGGAAAGATCAATTAACCTGAGCATGCATTGTTCAATAACTCGCGAACAAAAGCTGTACCAATTTAGCACCCACCTGGCAGTCTATTTTCCTGACAGTCTAAAACAAGGGAAGCTGTTCTCAGTGTGTTCATGTCATCGTTGTCGTGCAGCTGCCAACCTTTCTTAGACCGCAAAAACTCATTACAGGCATCCCCCTCGCCCCGTCTCATTCTTTTGGCTCCACGCTCTCTCTTTCTCGCTCCCGCCAGCCATTGTGTTCTCGTTGGGGCTAGCTGTCTCTGTCGTTCGGTGCGTTTTTGCTATTTCGCAATTAAAACTTTCATTAAAGTAATTAAAATTGCAACAAAATAAACAAAAATACAATCGAAATCTGCAAGGTCTGGCCCAATTGGGGTCGAGGGGGTTTTTTTGGGGTTACAGATGAGGAGGCGGAGGTGGTGGAGGCTGCTGTGTGGGATCTGACAGACACACAAAAATGCAGTTAAAAATGTACGACAAGGGAATGAGAGGGCAGCTGTGCCGAAAACAAAGACAGAAGTGTGACAAATATAAACAGGAGTATAAATAAAATGGTAAAATGTTAAGGGCATCACCAGGAAAGGGCCGGAAAGGACGGGGCAGGGAGCATAATAAAATGTGGTAATTGTAAATAAGTGGAAAATGAGTGCCGAGGCTGGCAGGGGGCAGGGCGAAGGAGGTGTGTCTATTGCATTTGGCGGGATAACATTTTAAATTCAAATTAAACGACTGACAAAGCCACAAAAGGATTGACATGAAGTTAGTGCCACCGCCCAGGAACAACAAAAGTGACAACTTGGCTAAAGGCAACCGCAACTCTAGTTGGCAGCTGTCGTTGTTGCAGGAGCATTTTCGCATCTATTGTTTTATTTGAGCTGGAATTTGCATGGAAAACAGAAACACAAAGGCGTAAAATGAAACTTAGATTAACCATTCAAGCTCATTTTAATTTTTTTTAATTTTTAATTATCTTCTAAGTATTGCCCAGACAAGCCAAGAGGCTATTCTCAGATTAAAATACTCAACAACGACAAGGCAGACTTAAGGATCTAAGGATAGTAACTCCCCCCCTTCAAGTCTGAAAAAAAAGTACATTTCCTGCGGAAACCGAACGATTTAAATTGAATGTTCGAATAAACCTGCACCCTTTTGTTATGCAATACGAGTTAGTACTTTATTTTTATCCTTAAAGTGGTTCGAATTCATATTCATATTTACAACTTGGCATCAAACGTGTACACACTATATGGGAAATTCGATGCCTCAGCCGGCGCACATGTGGGGTCCGTGTCTTCGGGACGGAAATAAAAGATTTTACAAGACATTGCACAGTCAAAGCTCCCATCTTCCAATGAAATTTTCCGCACATTCTCCGGCAGGCAAACAACTTAGCCTGACTGCTGCCTCCCCCGACCCCGACCGCCGGTCTTGCCAAGAAACCGTTTAAAGGCAACTTGACACGCCGGCAAATAAAATCTAAACTTCTTAAAGCAAACCCTCATCTTTACCGCCAAGGGGGCAGGGACTTGCGAGTGGTAGATGAAGCTAAAAACGAATACGAATACGAAAAGCTGTAAAAAAAAATGATAAACGCTTCAACTGATGACACATTCAGTTTCACACACGAACGACTTTCAATTTACATTTGATGTTTTATGTTTCGCAGCATTTACCAAACGAAAAGCGTAAAAAAAAAAATACCGAAAAACGAAAAGTGAAGAAAAAGCGACCCAGAGGCCGGGAGCCAGAGCCGGAGCCGGGGGCCGGGAAAAGGAATAACTCATACGCACCCACGCACATACGGATTGGCGCCCGACGTTTGACGCCGCCTGGCAGCTCAACGCACAGAAAAGAAATAGCACAAAAAACCCACAACCCAAACCGAGGAACTTAGCAAAGGCAGTCCTGGGAAGGAGTAGAACTGGCAGGAGTATTCTAAAAACGACTTCGGTGCCAAGCAGACGACAAAGGACGTGGCACGGGAAGTGAGCTCGGCTAAGGAGTTGCCTCGATTATACTCTGTATTTAAATTAACCTCAAGATTCAATGACTCAAATATTGGAAAACCCCAATTAAAATAGAATAATATTAAATTAAATATATTTTAAATTTCAAAAGTAGAGAATATTTTCCAAGTGTATCAAAGTGTGTATAATTATCAACATAAGTTACAAAATTGGTGTACTTCTTAGGAAACGTAATTGGATGCTTTATTTTATGGGTGGCCCTTGTGATTTTTGTCATTTTGGCTGTGAGATCCTGTTAAATTTCTTGACATTATTAGAAGATTATGAAAAGTTACAGAAATATTCCTCTTTTGGAACGAAAAGGAGATATTTAAATTAATTTAATTTAACAAGCAAAGCATATAGGACTACTTTCAAAGAAAACTTGCCATAAAAAATGATTACGAAACAAGAACACACGAATATAAATTTCATATATATTGAGAAGTTGTCCAGAAAACTTTTCAATGGCCACTTGGAAGCATTTTCGGAAACCGATGCTTGACAAGTTGCCTCTTTTGAGATCAGCCACAAAGGCCCTTCAAAAGAAGGCCCACAAACTAGGAGCACCGCACTCAGCATGCGGTCAGCAAAAACAAGAAAGTAAAACAAAAGCACCCAAATAGCAGTTTGAGCAGGAATTGCCCATAACGAGCACTTGACCAGGGACACAGGGAAAATGTGAGATGGCAAAGTTCACAAAAATTGCCAACTTCTTTTGTATACCTTTTCAATATGAGTATCTGTTTCCGTAGAAAATAAATTTAAAGCATTCGAAGGACGGAAAGGCAAAAAAAAAGATGCACTTAAAGACCCCACATTTGTCTCAATGAAGGCCGTGACACATAAGTAACATTAAGTTTCTTTTTTTTACCTAATTTATACGATTTACGCTGCCCGGCTGTCCGTCCGGGTGGCCTGGTCTTTGCGGTCCCCATTCGTGTCCGGGTCCGGCACTTGAAGCCGTATAATTGCGCTTATCTCTTGGCGCACACTCAAGTGGCCCGGCTCAATATGTTTTTGGAGTGAAATGAAGTGCCCATCGTGTCCACTTGGAAGAGGGAAAGGCCGAGAAGTACGGCCCGGAGGAGCCATGGAATCCCAGTAAAAATTGTTGTATTTGATTTAAAAGAAATACCTTTTTAGTTGAAGCCTCTCTAGTTGTTTACCCTGTCGTGTTTATTTTTATCCATGCTGTTTTCTTTTTTGTGGTGACATTTTTATACACTGTGTGTGTGCGAATGGTTTTTTATAGGACGGATAACTTTTTGGCATCCGACCAATGAGATTATCTTAAGTGGGGTGTTGTCCTGGGGCAGGGAGGAGGTGCGGGTTACTCAATTGCAGTCTTGAAGTTGGTTTTCCCTTTTTCCTAGCCAGTCTCGAAATGAGTTTCGCAATAGTTTTTAACTGTCTGTGGTCTGTGGCTGATGTATCATCAAGAGGCGGCCTTTTGGGACCGGTTTTTGGTAAATCGATGTAAATGGGTTTTAAAAGCAATCAAATGAATAAATTAAACAAAAAATAGAGCTTTATCTATGAAAGAAAGGGAAAACCTTATTCATATAGTAATAATAGTACCTTGAATTTAAGAAATTACAAAACATTTTTAAGGATGTCCCATTTCTGGAATGCATTTATTTCCAAGTTCTTATAACATCTCAGTTCACTCAATCAGCTTAATAAAACTCAGATTTGAGAGCCATAAACAATTCCATATTTTACTTTAAGGTTTTCTTTAAAGGATTTGCTTGTTTGTTTTCACGGCCGAGTGTAATCAAACGTAACTCTGCTACCAAGCTTAAATCTTTCCCTCGGATTTCGGTATGACCTCCTCCGCCGCCAGACTCTACGTCTATCGGTGTGAGTGCATCTTTTGAAAGCCTCAAGTGTGAACACACATTATAATAAACGCCTCAATTGTTGTGCAGTCATGTGTGTAATTTATGTTTAGCTAATGTTCAGGGATCGATGAGCTTGTCAGCTTTTGTGAATCACAACACCAGCAGACACACACGGAGGGGTCCTGCGTCCAATATCCTGCCCCGCCCGCAGATGCCTAGGCATTAACCGCCCCGAAGCCAGAGGAAGCTGGAAAACGACGTTAAGGTTGCTTCGTTGAGTCTAATAGACTTTCATGTCTGCCACGACATCGACTTTGACTCAGTTTAGAGTGAGTCCTGCGAGAAATCCTTTCGGCATCCACTTCACCCTTACGCTACCGTTGGCTGGTGTTATCCTCCCCAGGCGCCTCGGGTTTTTTTTAGACATGTTTCAATGATTTCTTATTTTTTGCCACAGGAGCAGAACTGTTGCTCTGCTGTTTAGTCCTTAGAGAAATTCAATTTTTTTATTTGTCGCTCGCTCACTTGTCCTGATGTTAAATCATCGATGTGTGAAATTTGTGAGCTCCACCGCCTTGACTTTGATCGATATTTGGGATTTCCGTTTTTTTCCTAAGCTTAAATTTTGTAGAACCCAGTAGGCTTGGAGGAAAACATTCTACGAGCTAGGCCAGAGCACTGTGAGGTTAGCTCATTCCAGTTTAGCTCCTTGTTTTGTACACATCCAGAGCTCTCTTTAGAAAAATCAACCAAAATCATTTAAAAATTTCAAATTCGAAAAAAAATTTGGAATTTTGAAAATTAATATCTTTTGCCTTAAAAGTGTAAGTATTCAAAAAAAAAAAATATATATATTCAGAATATATATTTCTGAATATTTTATTTCAGAAAACTCCTTTTCAAAATGTGTTGCCAAGCAGCTTGTGGATCAGTCTCTTATGCCTTGTCCTATGGCCCAGTCGGACCTGCGCTTCCGGCCATGAACTACGCGAGCTGCTGCTGTGGTCCAAACCCTCCTTGCGGTCCTTGGACATGCCCCCCGAACAGATGTTGCTGTGCAGGCGAGTGGGGTTGCTTTGGACCGTTCTACTAAGGATCACTTCCCGGCGCTAATAAAGCAGATAACGCATAGTGGGGTTGAAAAATTGAGCTTTGGTTTTGTGTACAAAACAATAAAATTGCAGTTAAACTAATTTTTTGGTTTCTTTTTAAATATTAATGCAGGCGGTTGGGGTTGCTTTGGACCATTCTATCATGGAAACTTCCCGGCAATTATAAAGAAGATTATTGACAACGGGTTGGGGAAATTCAGCTGTGTACGAAACAAATTAGCAGTTAAACTGTTTGTTTCTTTAATATTTAACTCCAAGACCCTCAAAAGGTCTGTTGAATAAATGAATAAATTTTAATGAAGGAAAAATTCATATAAATACCGCGAGATAAATACGTTGCGGGCTTCAATTTATCAACAAACACACAAAGTTCTACCACCAAACTTTCAATAAAATATGTAACTAATGTAGAATTGTAGTAGCCCCTAGAATTTTTAAAATAAAAAAAATAAATATCCTTTCTTTACAATAAAATAAAATAAAAAATATGTTCTACAACTTTTAATTTAGATAAGAATGTTGAGAATTTAGATACATATTTTTGTCTTCAGTCTAGTATTGCCTATTTTTTCTCCGGACTCTCTGGTTTTGACGCCAATTTTGGATCTGATTTTGGTTCAGTTTGCTGTTCAGCTTTTGGCTCAGTCTTCTGTTCCACATTGGTGCCATGCTTTTGCCAGCACAGGTTAGCCTCCTTGGGAGCAAGCACATGTGGCACATAGCAATTATTCGTGTTCTTCTTGCGGCTTGTGTCACGGACATAGCACTTGTCGCCTGGCCCGCAAGGAGTGGGAATGAAATCACGACCGGTATATCTGAGTGTTGACAAAGGTGGATTGTTGCAAGCCAACTCGTAGGAGGCACACGCCCAGCCACCGCACATTTTGATGAATATTTTAAATGTGCGGTTTTAAAAGAACTAAAGAAGAATTGGATGTCTTCAAACTAAAATTGTTTTCCATAAATATTAAATTAAAAAACTTACTCCGTTTTATTAGGGAAAGGTGTTCAGGTGGCAATGACTGGACTGAGACTGAATGGGTCAGGTTCTTTGATGACAGGTCTCTATTTTCTAGGCCTCCTAGTTTGACAACTAGCTTTGGAAGGCAACTCCCCCCACTCGATTGTGTGATGGCTTAATTCCAGGAGCCTAGCATCCGCCGCAGCATCCGCCACAGCACCCACCGCAGACGGCGCAGTCGTCGTTGGGACCGCAGGGGGTGGGCGCAAAGCAGCGGCCTGTGTAGCGCAACGTCGAGTTTCGCGGATTGCAGCACGCGATATTGTAGGAAGCACAGGCCCAACCGCCGCACATCTTAAATTTTTCGGTGAAAGTTTTTTTTTTCAGTTACTTAGCCAGGAGCCGACACAAAATCGAGTGGTTTAGGCCGAACGAGAGAGTGAACTGATTTGAGGAGAGGTCAGCCCAGCCGGATACGATTTTCGACTTGACAATCGCCTCATAGCCTCCTTAGGCGAGAAAAAAATATCTTTGAAATACTGCCTACTATTCTGGCCCATGATACAATTATATATAATAATTATATATATATATATTATTATATATAATTATATATATATTATATATATTATATATATATATTATATAATAATTATATATATATATATTATTATATATATATAATTATTATATAATTGTATCATGTTCTGGCCTAATAGAAAGTTTGATCATAAAAACTACAAAACCCACAAAAATTTTATTCAAATAATAAAATCAGTTTTGCCAAAAATTGGTACCAACACTGCGTATGCGTAATATTTGAAAGATAAGCTACCATTGCAAATACGCAGCGTATTATAGTTTATTTAAAATAGTTGGAAGAGAAAGTGATTATTCTTCTACTGATATTAAATATTCTATGGTATAGAAGCCAAACATATTATTTCTCCTAACACATTAACTTTTACTTATTTGCCAAAGAAAAACAAAAAGATTTAACGAAATTGCAACAGCTTCTGCTCGTCGAGAATTGCCAAATTTTCCAAGTGATTTCGCAAAGATTGGCGGACAAAAAACGAGCTAAATAGGCGGCTAGGCATTGAAAGAGTCTAAGATCCTTTCATTGTCGGGCGTATTTAGCACGTTTTTTGCGGAAAGCACTTTGCCACAAGTGGCGGAAGATTAACCAATTTCGTGATGAGTTGTGCAACACCCCGATGTCGACCGCGTTGCGGACCCTGCGGACCATGTGGACCTTGCGGACCCTGCGGGCCCTGCGGACCTTGCGGACCCTGCGGACCCTGCGGATCATGCGGACCATGTGGATCTTGTGGACCCTGCGGATCATGCGGACCATGTGGCAGTGGCGGCTGTGGAGGCTGTGGGCCCTGTTGTGGCGGCTGCGGACCCTGCGGCGGGTCCTGTGGCAGCTGTTGTGGACCGTGCGGCTCCGGGCCGTGTGCCGTTGTATCGTACCGCCTTAGTTGCGGGCCGGTGGGCCCGGTCCTGCCCTGTATGAAGTGCACCTGCAGCTCATGCTGCCCCAGCAACTGTGCCCCTCCCTTCTACTTCGTGCCCAACAAGTGCCGCAACTGCTACGAGTGGGGCTGCTTCGGACCGCTGTATTAGTGTGCTTGCTGTTGTTGCACTTTTGATGGAACTTTTGCTATTTTTAATGCAATAAATTTACGTGTCAGCCAAAGTTACATATTCCCTCCTATTCAGCTAGTTTTTTGGCTCTCCCTGACAGGCTAACAAATGACCGAGGTCCAGTTTCAGGGTTGCCAAACTTTGCGCCACGAAATCATTTAACATTCGAACTTTTGTAAGCCAGAAAAGCATAAAAAATAGAAATACTCGTATAGCTGCAAAAGTTTCCGTTGAATGGAGCGGCTAAAAAAAACAATACAAAAAATGGGTAAAATCTGAAAATGACTTGTTTTGGTTTTAGACCCGGTGTGGAGGGATGTAAAAATTTTTGTGAAACAGCAAAATGCATATGCGTGTGGAAACTTTCCAATCTATTTGGTTACACGCCGTACTTATGTAGGTCATGGATCTGACAGTTTTCGTGCCACCGCTTGTTGTATTTTTTAGCCCGCCTGAGAAGCGAAGACTGGTCAATTGAACTGTTGGTCAGCTGTTGGTCAGCGGATAGTGAGAAATGGTAAAACAAATATTTTTCCATTAAATTGCTTTAGTTAGTCAATTTATTTGAAAAATTCTTTGTTCTCGCTTTTTTGCTTCGACAGTTTAAGTTAAATGGAAATTTGAATGAGTTTTTCAGAGTTTAAGAAAGCTTTGATGGTCGAGCAAGGCAGATTGTAGATCTTGTCAGAAATTGAGAACTATTTGGACCCACCAAAAATTTGAATAATATTGATGGTCACATAATTTAGCTCAAATATTTTTCAGAGAAAATACTTCTTAAAGCAATGAAACCCCCACACCGTCTAAGTATTTTTAGCTAACTAAAAAATATAGTTTAAGTAAGGCACACTACTAAAAATCATAAAAGTCAATCTGTACTGATGGTGAGCCTAAAACCAAGCTCACAGCTTTATCTATTTTTATGCAGGGGGAGATACAAACACAGAGTACAAAGAAACAGATATTATCATCACCTAGTGGGAGTTCTCAGACAAAAGCAACCACGGCAGGGATTGCAGATTCAGATTCAGAACCAGATTCTCGACCTACCTTTTTTTGGGGGGAACTGGGAAACAAGGTAAATGTTATGACTGCCGGCGATTGTTGTCTCTGCGAGCTGCTGTTGTTATTGTTGTCCCGGCAATAAATTAACTTATTTTAGCACGTTACACGGGTTTCCACGCACACACTCAAAACACCGACACTGGCACCAGGATGGAGTTCAGGGAGTACGTGGGAGTAGGGTCCTCGAAGAACCACGTCGGGGATTCCGAGACCGACCAGAATATATCTCGCACTGGAGTTCGGAGCTTGACCTATGCCAGAGGCTCTCAGTTACGCTTTTTGCACGCCCGCCGCTCAGGTCCTTGCTCCCCGAGTGTTTTTTTGGGATTTTGCACACTTCTCACATATTTTTCATAATTTTGTGCGAACAAATCGCGTTGGGCCAAAAAAAACCTGTGTGTGTACGAAATAAAAGTTTGGCGAAAAGTTTTGTTTGGTCCTGTTTGGTCTCTGTTCTGTGTGCAGTGTGCTGTCTGTTTGCCTTTTTGTTTGGTTTTATTTTGGTAGCACTCAAATCTCTAGTGAAATATTAATTTTCACAAATTCTGACACTTTTTAGCCGGCAGTTGTTTGTCCACTGATTTTGCTATTTTGTTTCAATTGCGTTTGGCAATTAGACTGGCTAATTCATTTTCTGTCCGTTGGCAATTGTTTTTTGTTTCTGCGGTTTGTTTATACGGCTATTATTTAAATTGATTCAAATATTAGCTCTCGCCTGCGTTAAATTTGTTGTCGTGGTTGTTGTGGCTTCGTTCTCGGGTACGGTGGCAGCGGCAGAGCGACCAAACGATTTGGCATTATCAATGTAACTGAAGCATCAGCAGCAGGAAGCTGTCGGCACTCGCCGGAATCCCAACAACAGTAGCTGCCTCTGGCAGAGCCGATTCCGATGCTGTTACGGGCCGCCAGGACTCGGCCGAGGTCGTATCCTGCCGAGGAGAGCGCCAGCTGAAGAGTACTCGGAACTGAACGAAGCCCAGAACGAACCGGCTTCGGTTGTCTGGCGGGCTGGCGAGGGAAATTTTTACAAGAACCAGAGAAAAGTTACTGTAACAGGGCCGAAAGAGCTTTCAAGTTCGAAAAAGGGATATTCTTACTTTGTAAGGATAACAGAGATGGGTTCACTCAAAGGAGAGTGTTCCGATTACATGTTTTGAAACTGTTTGATTAAGGAAAGATATAAGCCAAGGCAGCTCAAGAAAATTGTTCTACAAGATTAATTTTTAATAATTTTAGATTCTTAGAAACATAAAATATTACCTAATGATAAGAAAAAAGTTTACTTCTTTTAAATAATAGCTTGTATAAGTATGAAGGCTTTTGAAAAAATTTATCAACATATAAATTCCTAATTCATATAAATTCATTTTTAAATAAAAAATGTAAAAAGCCAGTCAAAATGCAACAAAATGCTACAAATCAAAGGTATTTTAATGCGACAGTGTCTGAAGTAAAACATATATTTGAAAGTAACATAGTTGGTATCTATGTATTAAATTGGTTTTTACAAAATTTCATTCAAAAAGCAAGAGTATGAAATGTGAAACTAAAGAGCTACTCTTCGGAGACAGCGACCAAAGTGGTCAACAACTAACGGAAATAATGCACAACATAGAAAATGGAAACCATATTGACAAGATAAAACATCGGAGTGGTGATGGGTGGATGGGCATGGGGGTGTGGCACATGCAGCAGCGGTTGAAACATAAAGCAATAAACAAGAAAATACCAAATGCATACGAGGCAGCAAACATGACAGGCAGCAGCAAACAAACCAAAGCACAGGGACCAAAAACATGACTGCCAAGGGGTATGATTCAGATACACATGTATATGTATACATGCATACCAAACATATACATATATAAATAAATATGTGAGTGTATGTGAGGAAGGATGCTTCGGCTAGACAATAACTGTAAAATGTAAATATTAATATTGTCATAATAGACAAGACAAGTGGAAATGCCGTTCTTGGGTGTCCTGTCTGGGTAGCGATGATGATTACGACGATGATGATGATTGGTCCAATAAGGACGATCATGACGAGCAACCGCAAAAGTGCCGTTAAGCTGCTAGACGACAGGAGCGTGGACGCAACGGACACGAACCGAACCGAATACGAAATGTCAGCTCATTTCCGGTTGCTTAATTTGAAATCGTTGTGCCAAAAATTACAAATGAGCTGACAATGGGACACCAAAGAAACCAAACAAGCGAAAAATAACAGGACATGCCAGACAGGGAGGGGATTGGAAGCGATAACAGGACGAAAAGCGAGCAACTGAGAGCGAGCAAGTAGCGCAGGGTGAATGGGAACAATAAGCACAAAATAGCAGCGTCTAATACGCAAAATAAACGAGAACTGACCACCACAGCATGGCTGGCAGCAGCACACCACTGGGTGGACAGTTGGGTGCAGTCCTTTGCCACGCCCCCACCGCATTCAACCCCAAACTCCACGCCCCCGCCGCCTTTCGTGTTTTACAATTTTAACGCACATCCTAACAAGGCAACGCCCAGTAGTTTAATTTTTGTCCTTTTGCCTCGATATGTGCACAAATTTCTCACACTCCCTCCCCCTCACTCCAGCTCTCTTCTGGCCAGCACTCTAATCTAATGATGACAGCCAGGGGCTAGGGAAAAGGGGTGAACCTGAACTCAACCCCAGCTTCGAATGTCGCTTCTTTATTGCGTATACGCCCCGTATACTACTGGCAGCACAGCTCACCCCACAGATGAAAGCCACAATGTGTCGAAAATTTGGTGCGTTCATCGTCATTCACCTTTCTGTTGAGTGCAGGCGATAAAATGTACGACGAACACTTGCATCTCCGCCCAACTCCTTCCATTTCGCTTTAAGGACTCGTCCAGCTTGCCGAGTGGCGACTGGGAAAAGGAACTATGTATGTATGTGGTCCGTCTTGGGTGTCTCGGGGCCACCATCAAACGGTCAAGTGGAGTGCTGAGTTTGCGTTTAATATTAAAAGTTGTTAATCTCGAAAGTTTAAGACTAGTAGAGAAGTAGTACCACGTTTTGGTTTAAAACATTATAGCTTTTATTTATACAATAATTGATGAACCTCTTTACGACAATCCACTTGACTAACCGACCTTAGAAACTTAATCCCACCTTGCCGAGTGATTTCCAAAAACTTAATTAACGTTCGTCAACTAATTGCCTAATTTATGCAAGTCAAATAAATGTCATGTCAACATATAATTAGTTATGGCGCCTAAAGTGGCGCAAAGCAAATGTGGATGTGTTTGCGGAATATCTGCTAATTTATGCATGATTTAAATTCAGAATGGCATTCCCTGAGAGGGTCTTGGCAGCTAATTAAATTCTTACTGCGAAAAAAACAAAACACAAACAATGAAAATTACAAGATGATGGAAACTATGCAACGGCAAGGACATCTTTTTCTCCTGGAAGTCCCAGCTGCGGCCGTCCTCCTTTCGCTGTGATACTTTGCTCATAGTTTTGAGGTCATCTTGCCAGTCCCTGAGGATGGTCTTAACGTCGTCCGTTGACACTGCTGTTGGACATCATAATTTTGTTATTGTTTTTGCATTGCATTACAAGCGACTCAGAAGCAACTCTTGCTGCTGCCTCCTAATCTATTGGATTAGCGGGAATTCAATTAGGCCGGGCCAAGGACTCTCCAGTTGCAGCTCTGTCTCCAACTCAATTAAACTGCGAGGGCTTTAACTCCAGCTCTGCCATTTGGATTCGCAAATATTCCGTGTGACGTCCAAAAGGAAAAATATTCCACGCGCGGGTATCGCTGCTGCTCGTCAAATATTTGTTTAGCGGGCTAAACAAAAGATCGCCCCAATAAATCCATGTCACAATCCAGCGATAAAATAATAAATAAACCTATAAAAGCTACCCAAATCATTCTACTACTCACATAAAAAGGGCGCAGGGATAAGGGATGTCGTAAAAAATAGTTGCAAATTTCAACCGAGTGCAAACACTGTTGGAAAGCAAATATTTACAACAATTTAAACTGTGTGGCAGTCTCTAAATCAGTAAAAAACCATATCAGACCAGAAATAATAAAAAGAAATATCCATAAATGGTTGAGATAATTTTCTATCCTATCATCAGCATAGAGAAACGGAAACAAGCATCAGACTATGAGATGATGTAACTAATAGAGTAATTTAAAAAGGAACTCAAAATTAAGATGAAACTTTGAAGAGTAAAGGTAACTTTTAAGCCCTGTGATAAGTTTTTGTCAGACAAATTCCTGGCATTTCTTAATTTTAATAGGCCCTACTACTACTTTCATTTTCTGTCTCCATTTTTTTGCGGAAAGCTCCATTGTTCTTTTAACAAAATAAGTCATAAATATATTTTGCTGATTTCTTATTTTTCCACAGGGTTGCGAAAATAACTTGCATAATGCTCTATACGGGATAAGGACAAGCAAAACACAAAATGGACTTAACCGAGGCACAAAGGGAATCCTGGCCGAAGTGTAGAGGGGAGCTGGCCAGGAGGAAGAAATAATTCACAAAGAATGAAACAGCAAAGAAAGGCTTACCATTCGCTGAGATATTTAAGTAGATTTGCTTGTTGTCTTTCAACTGTGTCCCAGGCCCACCCACCGACCTCTCGGCGGGCTCAGACTTACTTTCATATTTTATAATTCTTTTCTTTTCTCTTTCCTTTATTTCAGTTTTATTTCATTTTATTCTTTTCTTTGGTTCGCATGTTTTCGCGCTTCCCATTTTTTTTCCCCCTCGCCCGCTTTTGTACTTATAATTTCTCACGTTTTCCTGCAAATGCAGCACAAAAATTTCTCGTAGTAACTTTTAATTTCATGCCATTTAATTCGTTGAAAGCGGAACGCGTAAAAAGAGCAAAAAAAATTGGCAGCTGAAGCCTTGCCAAGGAAAAAGAATACTGCAATTATGTCCGGGTGTGTGCGCTTGTGTGTGTGCAAGGCGCAAAGGAATTTGCCACAGGACACGCTTTATAACAAAAACAGTTTCTTTTCCTCCATTTGGCGACTTCTTAAAGGCTCCGCCAAGAAGAGAAGTGGTCAGGAGGGGTAATCCTTTTTAAGTGGTATATAGACAAGTAACTATTTACATAAATCCTTTCCGATACAACTTCTGATAATTTCCAAAAAGGATTCAATTGATTAAATGGATTATTTTTTATGGAACCCATATCATTTTTAAAGAATTTGAACTCAAATATTAACAAAAAAGGGTTTAAAATGTAAAATAAACATTAAAAATGGCTAATTAAAAGTTTTCCAAGTGTAGAAAAATATTCGAGCTCTCGAAAATGTTCATCCAATATGGAACAAGTGTTAAATATTTAAAGGGTACAAGGGCTAGCTTGAAAATTGATTAAGTTTTCGCCATCAAGCCAGGGTAAACTTTTTTCGGGATGCATAAAACGTATAATGGAAAGCCAGAAAGGTGAGGCCAACTAATAAAGTTTGCGGTGAAAGTAGCTTAGGCCACGCCCACTCATTGAAGCACTTTACCGGAGGCAGCATAATTTGCACATTTGTTGTGTGTGAGTTGTGGGCCGGCGATGGGTCTGGCTCGGGGATACTTTTGCCTTGTTCATGGTTAAAGTTTTAAGACGTTACTTAACTGTTATGTGCACCGCAAGGTAGCACACACTGGCGCTCGCATTCTCGCAAATCACTTGGGCACGAAAGTGAAACTCGTACTCGTACCAACTGATCCAACTTTTCTCCATACTTTAGAGGGCTTCTCTCTACATACATACCATATAGTATATGCAACTGAGCAGCCAGT